TACTCTGCATGGATAAGGTAAGTTTCTCTTTGTAAAAGATTTTGAAGTGAACAAAAACAGAAAAAGGTTTCTTATAAACATTTAAAGCAGGGGATTCTTTTAAAGTAGAGCAAAAAGCAAACCAACCTATTGACATTCATCACTCTTTGCCAGGTACCCTGGCAGAGAACTAAATTTAATGGACCTTCCTTTCTATTTATCTGACCCATATTAATATTTGCTTAGGTGAGTATGTAAAAACTAGTGTAGTTAGTTCTTTTAAGTCCTTTTAAAATCATAGTTGGTCTGTTTTATAGTTAAAATAGACAACTTGCTGCATTCCAAACTTCTACTTAGTAGACTTTTCAAGAAATAGAATATCTGATTGAAGTTCTTGTGATCTCTGGAGATAAGGTGTTAGCCAACAGTGCTGCATTGACTCAAATGCTTATCTGACAGATGAAAAATGTCTGTTTCATGTTTTCCATCTCCAGGAAAGACTTAGGCCTTAACCAAATCCAGTCTATGGTTTGCTCTGTCTGCCATGATTCTTCATAGTACCGTACATATATCATAGCATTCCCCAAATTTAAATTTTTTTTAAAAAATTAAGAAATTGTCAAGAAAATTAATCTCAAAACCTAGACAATGCTTTGGTGCCCAATCAGTAGCCATCTGATCATGCTTTGAAGGATATATTCAGTCGAGATAATGAAGACTTTAAAGTGTGTCTTGGGATCTTTAAAACAGCAAGAGATGACACATCTCATATCATCAGATAATACAAAAAGAACATCATTTTGTCTTCCAGTGGCCTGCTTTTTTATTGGTCTAAGTCACAGTCATAATACTGTTCAAAGTATTTCTTTGTGGTTGGCATCTATATTATACAAAGTACCCATCAGGCTTAAAGGTGTAGCCACTCCCAGGTTAGTAGAAACTCTAATAATGCACAAATGGTCTTTGATTTAAATCTTAATGAACAGGGGAAGAGTTCAAGCATAGGAATTTAACTACAAAGGTAGTAATATTCTTATTTTCAACACACCCCTAGTATTGCCTCTCCCAAATAATTTCTTTCATTCTATCTTGGTCTTGAAACATTCTAGAAGTCTGTTCTATATGGTTTTGACCATTACTGATTTTTATTGAATGAAACAAATTCAACAATTTTTATCTTTGTATCTCCCCCAGAGCCTACCAAGGGGCATGGAACATATTAGACCCTTAAATGCTTGTTAAAATGGAAAGTCCTGGAATCTTACTGGTTATGATGATTGCCATAAAACTGTCAAAAGCAAAGTAATATCCAGTCCAGTGGGAAAACTAAAGTTAGGAAAAACCAAACTTTCCAAGAGATAGAAAATGAAACTGCAAAAAAAAAAAAGTTCATGAGAAATTAGCAATTGTGATAATGAAGTAGAGGTAGAGACAGTATAATTCTATGGAAGGAGCCCTGCATGTGAGAATTGGCTGATTTGGGCTTGAGTCCCAGAATTTAGGCTTACAAGTTTTGTGACCTAGGGCAAATCACTTGCTTTCTTCATTTGAAAAATGGGTGTGATTTCAGCACTTGCCCTGCCTTATGAGGCTGTGTTTGTAAACCCTGAAGTCTCACAGAAATGGGAGCTGTAATTGTGCTAAACAATCTAACAAGTCCCTAGGAGGAGAAGATTAGCCATTTAATTAAGAGGGCTATTACCAAGAAATGTGTTTGTGCAAAGACCACCCTGAGGGAAAAGTCACTGCTCACTTGGCTCCCAAGCCTCATTTGCCACAGAGTTCCTTACAGATGATCAAAAACTCTTTTGTACTGATGGTAGGGAAATATCCTTTCCCCCAAATGTCCAAAGTAGTAAACTAGTAATTAATCCCTTTTAGGATAAGCCATGAAATAGATAATTTTCTCTCTAAAGAGGATGGACAATAACATGTGATAAATATCAAACCTGAAGGAGAAAATTGATTGTTTTTGTCTTGAATTGTAATGTTGAACTGTGACTATTGGTCATGTCTCTTTTTCTGTGATGCTTTTGAAGTCTGCAGGAAACTCTTACTGTGGCAAGATAGGGGTAAAGGCTTTGTGATTTGGAGAGTAATCAATTCCTGACTCTTTCTCACAATCCTTAATATTTTTCAGGTTGTGTGACTAGGTTTGTATTTTGACATTGTGCAACCATGTCAATTCACATGTCACATTCACTGTGCCTGACTATAGTAGTGACCTTTCTCCCTTTTTCCATAAGCCCTATAGAGAGTTTGGCTGTGAGTTTATGGGAGCTTATTCTCTGTCTATTACCTTGGGGTAAATGGTGATGGAATTGGAGCACCCCTCTGGGTTGCCTACTCTATTCCTACTTGCAAGTTTGATTCCCAGGAGGATGACTACTTCAGATTTAAGTGGATTCTCACTCCTAAAGTTATAGCTGATAAGGCTCCTGATAGGGAGGCAACATGATGTAGGGGATTGGTTTGAAATAAAAGAGATCTGGGTTCAAATCATAGCTCTGCCTCTTCCTACTTGTGTGACCTTGGGTAAATAGCAACTTCTCTGTGCCTGAATGGCTTTAACTGGAAAATGAGGGGTTGGAGTAGATGACCTTTAGGTTCTTTCCAGTTCCAAATCTACGATCTTACAAACTGAACCCCCTATCCTGATACAGAAAGTATTTAAGGTAGGGCTAGATAAGTTTTTATTTCACTATAATTTCATTTTGCCAACTCTCTCTTTCTTCTCCCTCTCCTCTCATAATAGTTCAAAGTCTCATGAATAACTTTTAAAAAGAGATTTTACCTCCCACTATTTATGGTTGGAAGCTTTGATATAGATGAATCATTGCAATTTTGAAAGTAAAACACTAAAATATAAATGATCTTTTAAAAGAGTTTTCATGATAGTCTAGGAAAGTGGCATCAAAATCAAGTAGAAATGGGGGCCACTAAACTGTACATAAGAATCCTTGAAGGCACATATTGACTTAGAAAACCACATATTAACATTATCTAAGTTTTTCATAGTATGCTTATTTATTTTGGTAAATGTTTCCCAATTATATTTTAATCTAGTTTTGCAACTCTAGGGATGGTTGTGGGCCCCATAGAGGTAGACTGTGTTTCTGGTCTGGGGATTGCAGAACATTGAATCAACAGTTGTTTCATGAGGGTTTGTGCAGTGTTTGAAACACAAGAGTAAACATTTTAAAAAGTATATTTTTCTCAATTTTAGAAATGATAATTTGCCTGTAGCAAAATATGATTCTCAACTTTCAATTGAAAAAAAAAACGTGGAGAAGATGGGTGAATCCTAAACATAATATCTTTACTCATTTTTCATATTGAAGAGAAATTGAATCTATATAGAGTCACAGAATCTCAGAGTAAAAAGAAACCTCAGAGGTTATCTAGTCTAATACATACTTGAACAAGAATCTCCTTTTGATCAGAACCCTGGTAAAAAAGGTCACCTAGTCTTTGTCTGAAGACCTTTAGTGAGAACAAACATACATCCTCCCAAGACATGCTACTTCACTTTAGGAACTTGGAATACATTTTTTTTGTAGAAATCATATTATAAATTATAGTTAGACTCTCAGGATAGCCCACAAAAAGCCTATTACCAATGATGTAACTGAACTACCATAGCTTTAAAATAAAAATTGGAAAACAATGAGAGAGTTTAGAACTGGAAGTCACTCTCAGAAGTTAGGGTTCAGAGAAAGTGGCTTCATGCATATTTTTGTGACTAAAAGAGACATTTCCCATTTAGTATTTTTTTGGTATTTATTTAGTATTTTATTTTAAGCCTTACCTCAAAGATGAGAAATTGATCACTTGCTATATATATATATAGACATAAGTAAGCCCCCAAATATTAAGAAGTTGGAGACATTCTTCACTTGGCATAGTGCCTACTTCTGTGCCCATTAATTTTAATCATACCTTTTTTCTTTGTCAGATCATAAGGTTTTTACAGTGCTTCCCAAACACATGATATAATAAACAGGCCTTTCTTTAACGAGTGGGAAACTAGGATTCTCCATTCCTTAATATCTTTTAAAATAATCTATACTCTTCAAAAAATCCTTTTGAGATCTGCACAAGCTACTTTTAGAACAACTTAACATTTTTCCTAGAGCTTTAGTTGAATTATTTTTTAAAATTCTTTAAAATTATCACCCCTTTGTCTTTTACTTAAACCTCATTAAAGCAAAAATAAGCACAGAAAATTTAGGAACAAAAAATGGGTATAAAATTTGTAATGATTATATCACTTTTAATACAGTTTAGCTACACACATAAGTTATGTAGAAGGGTATACAAGAAAAGTATAATTGTGACAGTCTTCCCATACAGCATACAATGACTGAAAGGTGATTATAACTATAATACACAACATAAATATTTTGCCTTTTACAAAATTGTAAAATGAATATTTTAACTATAAAACAATTGCCATTTCTTCTTGAAATTGAGATATTACTTTGTAATTTGTTGATGTTTTTAACAAATTGATAGTATGCTGGCTTACATATGAAAAGAAGAGAACTGAAGCAAAATGAAGAACAGAACTGTTCATTTGGCATGAGACACCCCAAATTCACTCTGTAAAACATTTCAGCACTGAGAGAGGATCAAAGTAATTTCCCAAATTGATAAGTCCTGTTTTCTTTCTTTGGTCATGAAATGTTTGCTAAGCACACTTTTTGTAAATATTTACTTGAAGAACCCCCAGCTTCATTTTTAATAGAAAATTTCCACAATAATCTAAATTATAGTATAAAACATGTTGGCAATGTCTTTTAAATAGAATCCAGAAAAAAATGTGTTTTTCTGTTACTTTACAGCCTCATAGACCCTCCATGAAGGAAGCATCTTTAGAAATTTCTTGAAGCCTCTAGGAGTGAAAGTTACTATTCAGAAAGAGAATGAATCTTGAACCAATTCAATAAATAAAGGTCATTGACTAACCTGAAAGATGCAGATGTCTAGTGTGTTTTTCTCCCTCTTAATGTTTTACTTACCATTAAAATGACTAGAATGCCAATAGTTCTGAAAAGGAGCCAGTCCATTGCTTCTGATTTTTCTTACATACAAATCCAAATGATGTTCAATTTTAGTCCTGGGCACCTGGACCCTGTGTCCTGCTGAAGAGGAAGGTGTGCTTAATGATGCTTTTCCAGGAGGGCATCAGAGCTCATTCTGACTTCCTCTGGGTGAAAAACTAAAGATGCTCTATAATGACTCTGTTTCCCCACCCCAAACCCCTGGGCTGGTCTGAAACACTTGCATCGTTATTGCTCCAGGTAAAAGCATAGACACACCTTGCTTCTTATTGCAATGAAACCCTTTGTTGGACACCAAAGAGAAAATTTTACAGAGTTAGGACAAGATTTACAGGGAAGATACCCAATGAATAATAAATTACTCACAACATGAAAAATAATTAGAACGCTGCACCTATCATCATCTTGAATAAAATTAGTAGGCTTCTTCTTACTTCCAGCATTAAAAAAAGCAAAATTATGTATACTGTCTACAAATACACATATCTACCAGAGTACCAGCTTCAAGGAACAAGATGTACATTCTAGGAAATTCTATAGTCATTTGTCTTCCTTAGGTCAAGGGATACTTGACTGACAATACACTGCAAGGAAAATGAATTGGAAATGTAGCTAATATTCATTGGTTCTGTACATCCTCTCTGTAAATTCCTTTGCTCATGAACAAGGCATTTTCTTCATTTGTAGAAGTGCATTGTACTTACAATGCTGTCTTGTCTTCCGGGAATCTCCTACTAAAAAGAGATGGATACATTTGAGAGAGTGCATGGAGGAGAATTAAAATAATTAGAGGATTGACAATGTGTCCTAAAATAAAAGAGTAAGATAATGGACACATGCACCTACTTATGAGGAAAAGGCATTATTTTAAAATATGAAAAAGAAACTAATTCCTAGGTAGAGGCATCATTTAGGTGTTGTACATGCAGTAATAAATACTGGAATTAAAAGTAGAAAATTCAGTCATAATTCAGATATTTACAGATGTTAGATCAGAAAGCTCAGCATTATGTAGAGAAAACAACTTGACTGACTGACTTTGAAAGGTTTTTTGGTTAGCATGAATAGCCTGTACGAATGCTTGGAATTGGGAGCCATCATGTTATCTCCAGGCACCAGTGTAGACAATGGCTTGACTGAAGTAGATGCTTCATAAAGTGTTGCAGATTGTAGCTCACCATGGAGAAGGGAAACCAACTAAACAGTTAAGAGTTATTCAGAAATGGATTCGGTTGCCTCTGTAGGTAGTGAGTTCCCCATTACTGAAGGCTATTTGCTGTTATTGTTGTAGGGAGCATTCATCTCATGTTTCAGTTTGGATTAGATAACCTCTGTTGTCTTCAAACCTAAGATTTTATGATCTTGATAAATTACAGTGGGTCCCAGTAGAATGTAAGCTTATTTTTATCCTTTTATTCCCCGTCCTATCACAGCATCTGACACATAGTGGGTGTTTAATAAAATTTTGTTGAATTGAACTGGATCTGTAACTTTGCGCAGATGTTTAACGTGTTCATTTGGAGTGGTCCCCAAAGCATTACCATTGTTTGGAGTGATGGGGTGTGCCTAACTAAGGTGAGAGCACTCAAGCTCAGGAGTCATTTCCTAACTTGTCTCAGGAATAGTATCTCAAGTGGTAAAGAAAAGTGGATCTTGAATGTGTGAATGAATTCCATTTCAATTTAAGTAACATTAGGCTCAAGAAATGTTAGTAATATTATTTGTAAGAATAATCCAGGATTTACATAGCTTTTGGTAACCAGTATCCAGAAAATCAACAAAAATGTCTATTGACAATTCATTATGATGGAATCAATTACATTCTGTGTACATTCACCTTTCATGAATTTCACTATATCAGAGAGAAGGAAGCAAGAAGCATCAGTTATGTGGTGCCATGATTACTGTTTAACACAAAAATACTCTGGTATGAAATTTCTTCAAGGGTATTTGACCTCCTTTCCCCACCCCCAATCCAATCATCAGTTAGGTATGTACCAATTTTTGTTTTCTTCTATTTGAGTAGAAGTTCGGGTTCCTCTGCTTTTCTTAGATTAGCAGGGTATGATGAAAAAATAAAAGGCACATTCATCTGTTTCTATAGCAATCACCCCAGACACATTTACTCTCTGATATAGATTGCTTTCTTTTAAAGACACTCTAGCAACCTTTATGATAAATATTTAGGGGATACATGCATATATATTACATAGTAATGCCAAGTGACTACCATTTTGCATGAAACTTTTTTCCAAAGTGTCAGTACCATATAATTGAATGATGAATTGTCAACTCATTCTTTTTCTACTTGAATACTTAAGGTGTTGGGTCCATGGATTATCCTATTACTGAAGTATATTGCTATAGAATCTAAGAGTGGGAAGGGAGGTCCAAATTTGTACATGACAACAAATTCCTAAAATATCCCCAGCAAATACTTTGCTAGATGTCATGATGCCTTTGTTTGAGGGTCGTCATTATTTTCTGAAGCAAAACATTTCACTTTTGGAAATCTCCAAATCTTTGGTAGCTTCTTTTTTCCTTATGGCAACAAAAAGTTTATTATTTTAGCAACTTCTAGCAACTTTATCCTTCAGCAACTTCTCCTACTTCTTTCCTCTTGTGACAAGCAGAACAAGTATAACCTTTTTCTTTCCTCTACGTGAAAACTTTTCAAATATTTTTGCAATTCGTTTTAGGTCTGTCCTCCAGCCAGCATCTGGAATATCACTCTATTTGGTAGAAACCTTAAAAAAAGAAAAAATAAATAGAATGTAAGCCTTTTAAGGGCAGAAACTGTTTCATTTTTGTCTCTGTATTCCTGAGGCCTAGCGTGCCTGAGGCAGCCACCTGGCACAGAATATGGAGTACAGGGACTATTGTCAGGAAGACCTGAGTTCAAATCTGGCCTCAGACATTTTACTAGCTGTGTGACACTGGGCAAGGCACTTAATCTTGTTGCTTCAGTTTCCTCATCTGTAAAATGAGCTGGAGAAGAAAATGGAAAACTGCTATAGTATCTTTGCCAAGAAAACCCCCAAATAGGATCACAAAGAATCAGAAATGACTGAAATAACTGAAACACAACAACAACAACAAAACATAGTACCTGGCACATAGTAGTAGGTTGAATAAATGCTTCTTGAGTAACTGATTGATGCTATTTATGATACATTTGGAGCTCCTGGTAATAGATCTTTGCCTTCTGAGGACCAGTACTGGTTTTGAAAGACTATTTAGATGTTAGAAGGAAAAAGGAATATAAGATACTTATGGCCCTAAGCCCTAAGGCTGTCAAATAGTTTCATAAAACGATGCAGATACAAAGGCTTTCATTTCCACGGACCTGAAGAGAAGGTCTGGCATGTAAACAATAAAGCTTGTGTTGTTTTTGACCTAGAGCAGTGGCTGTGAATACTTGCCTGTCTGCACGTTTGGAGATAATGGCCCCAAAGATAAACATCCTGTCTCTTCATTGAAGCTAATTGATTTATGGCAGCAGATAGACAGAAAATCAGGCTAGTCAGTGGGTGGTAGCAGGCACCAAGTATTAAGGTAAAATTTTCTATGGCTAGTTGGTGTAAATAACACAAGGATAATTTTAGTTTGTACCCCAAATCAAACTTACATGCTAGCAAATAGCCTTGTTCAATCAGGTTAAGAATTCACTGTGGTACCTCTGGGATCTGTGCCACACATGCTATGCTACTTGTAGGTTGACCTAATCTTAGATACTATCATGGAGAAGTATCATCTGACTCTTGATTCAGACCTAAGGCTCATGGCAATCAAGATAGGCATCAAATTCCACAATCTGATATGTCTTTGTTTGTTGTTCCTGGTGTCACTGGCAGGGTCAGGCTAAATTGTTAAGTCAGTGAGGTTTGTGTCTTTGGCACCTCCCACTTCCTTTTCAGTGCCCTCCTCTTTCAGCTGTGATCTGCTCCTTCTCCACCCCCACTCTCTCTATTAAAGCTTTTCTTCTTGCCCTCTTCTAGTTTTCCAATAGTCTCATGCTGTCCAGACCCCAGAAAACAATGATCTGATAAAATCCACCCAAGGAAAATGAATGAACCATGTTTAGGAGTTAATTTTAATCAATTTTAAGGCCACATCTTAGAAGAGGACTTTCTGGAAGCAATGTTTGACCCCAAAGGCATGAATCTCTAACAGTGGGATTTTAAGAGCACGTGGCAGAAGAAATATAGGGGAATTTCCTGGAATTCCCAAATCATATCACATAGGTGAACTCATACTGACTGCACATAAGCTCACAGAATCATAGATTTAGAGCTAGAAGGGATGGAACAGAATAAGAACACAGAATCACAGTGCTGTATTACCCCTGTAGGTTAACCTGAATCATGCATCTTCAGCTCTTCAGAAGAACCTAGTAACTTCCATGTTCAAAAAAATAAAATAAAACACACACACACACACACACACACACAAAACTGTGATGGAATATTTGCTATTTGGAATTACTGTAAGTTACTTGCATGTTACAATTTTAAAAAAAATAGCAATCAACCCCTAAAGAGGTCAGAAGAAAAAGAGGGTCTTTTTTCAGTCTGTGTTCTTTTTTGATATTTCTGAAACGTTTGACTACTCTCTCCTTATTAAAACTTTTCCCTCTTGGTTTCCATAATACCAGACTACTCTGTTTCATGTGGACCTGTAAAATTTTGAGATGGGCAGGGATTTTAAAGATCATCAGATATAACTTTCATTTTGTAGATGAGGAAGTTGATGGTCAGAGGAGTTTCCAACTTCTTTAACCATTCCACCACCCCTCTAACTAGAGCAGTGTTCCTCTAAGACTCAGTCTCTGGTTCCTATTTTTTTCCCCTTAATTCTATGTTCTTAAGAGAACTTGTGCATTCCCTTGGCTTCACTCTACGGATAACTTTCAAGTCTGTGTCTCTAGCCTTGAACTGTTGTCCAAGTCATAGTCTTGTTCCTGTCTACTAGACATTTCCACATTGATATCTGATGATTTCAAATTCAGTACCTCTAGAAATGACCATCATCTTCTCATTTCACTTCCAACAACAACAACAAAAACAGTAACTTTCTCTTTCTTAACTGGAATATAAGGTCCTTCTGGGCAGGAACTTTTTCACTGTTTTATCCGCATTCCTTGTGCCCAGGGCCTGGCAGGTGATAGGTTTTTAAAAAGTGCTTGTTGATTGAATGGTATTACCTCTCTTTAGTCTCCCAGGACAGAAACATATGGTTCCCTTGTCTTTTTCATCCCTCACATCCACATGACCACCTTGTCTTGCTGTTTCTGCTTTTTGATTATCTCTCATAACCTTCTCTTTTCTTCTATTTCCACTGCCACCAACCTAGTTCAAGGACTTATCACTTCCCATCTCAGTTACTAAAACTATTTCTAACTGGTCTCCCTGCCTATGCTCTTACCTAACTCCAGTTCATTATGTACAGTACTGCTGAGATAAATCTTTATAAAACATGCTTTTTATCAGTCACTGCCCTCCTTAGAAGACTTCAGTGCCTCCTCATTATCTAACAGTAAAGTCTAGACACCTCAGAATGTCTTTTAAGGACTTTTATAATATACTCAAATTACTGATCCGATTTTATCCTTCTCTATCTCCCCATTTGAAGCTTCCATCTTGGACAGATTGGTCCTGTAAACATTCTATGCTCATTCTTACCATTGTGTCTTTGACCATACTGTTTCCTCCATCGGAATATTTTCCCATCTTCTCTAGTTCTATCCGAACTCTACCTGGTCTTCAGGATACAGCCAAAGTCCCATCTGCTCAATAATGTTTACCATCAAAACTTCTCCCTTTTCTGAACTTCGGTAGCATTTGCTGACCTTGCAGGGAATAAAAATCACAAAGAAAGGAAGTGTTATGAAATTCAAAATATGATTATGGAGAGAGGATATACTAATGAAGATCAAGGATTTATATTTCAATAAATTTTGGGGAAAAATTGTTTATGAGATTTTGAGTCTTCTTGAAATTTTAACTTTTTTTCTGTGTTATTTTTACCCTAATATGATCCTATGAATCTATGGAGAGAAGTAGATGGTGGAAGTGGAAATAGATGGGTCAATATCTGAGACCTTAAGAAAATAGGAAATGGGGTAACAGGTGAAGCAACTCCATGGAATATTGTAACAGATGTTCCCACTCCCTCACAATTCCTAATCCTTTGACTCCTTATCCTCATCATGCTGCAACTCCTGTTCCAGGCCATAGCAGCTACCACCAGTAGTTTGGAGGAAGTCACACTGTCATTGCTTAGAAAAAGGTGATGTTCAGAGGAGGGGAAGTTCTCATTCCTGTTTCCTAGGCTGGTGTTTGAGGATCAACTCCCACCCAGTTGAAGCGCAGAAGGCTGTTTCCCATGGAAGCACTGTAGTACATGGTGGCTAGACTCTTGAGTGCTGTTAGGCCTGTGCTTCTAGGATGTGCAGGCTTCTATAAGCTAGCCTGGGAGCCTGATTACTAGAAATAGTGATGTTTCTATTGGACTAAGTTTTCTAGTCCCAAGAACTCAATGGACCTTGACAATTGAATATGTTCATAAATTAGAGATTGTTTATTCTTCATTGTATTATTTAACTTCCCTATATATATCTCATGTTACTCTAATTAGATTTTAGGTTAGGATAATGGCATATGTGTTCTACATTTTGAGATGGAAAAAGGGGAAGGCTGCATGGAGGAGGTAGAACTTAAGCTGAACCTTGAAGGATGGCAAGAATTCTTAGAGGTAAAAATGAGGAGGGAGTGCACTGCAATCTGGAGGGGGGAAGGGGAAGTGGGGTCTGTGTGAATGTGTGGAAATAAAAAAGGATAAATAGCTAATAGTCCACTTTGGGTGGAATGTGTGAGGTAGAAATTAAATGAGAAAGTTACATTGGGAGCAGATTGTTTTTTTTTCCCAATTAATAAACATCATTTTCTCTCCCTCCCTCCCACTCTCTCTGTAGAAAAATTAAGAAAACTAAAACTTTTGTAAAAATATGGATAATCAAGCAAAACAAATTTCTACATTGGCCATAGGTTGGTAGCAGATTATGGAGGGCCTTAAACTGCATCCTAAAGAGTTTGCATTTTTCCTAGATGCAATAGGGTCCAGTGAAATATTTAAAGAAGGTTAGGGTTGTGCTGGTATTCTTATGATAGGAAGATTATTTTGGCATCATGTTGGACCAAATATAGAGAAACTTGATCCAAGGAGACCAATTAGGAGAGTATTAGAATAGTCCAGGTGAGATGTAATAATGACCTGATTTGAGTGGTGACTGATTAGAAAGGAGATGAATGTTGGAGGGATTATAGAAGTAAAATTAGCAGAATTCATAACCTACATGGATATTGGGGATGAGGGAGAGAGAAAAGTAAGAGATGTTTCCAAGCTTGTGGAAACTGAGAGGATGGAGGTGATTTCCATAGAAATAAGGAAGTTTGATTGAAGGGTATATTTACTGGGGAAGATGAATTCAATTTTTTGCATGTTGAATTTTAGGTCCTGGTAGAACATCTAGGTAGATGTGTCCATTGGACAATAGGTACTGAAATTCAAGGAAGTGACTAGGACTGGGTATATAGATTTGGGAATCAATTGAGTAAAGGTGGTACTTGAATGTAAGGGAATGAGTGAGATCACCCTAGAAGAGATGGTAAACAGAAGAGCCCCAGAATAAACCATGAGAGAAATCCATACAGAATGATTGTGAGATAAATGATGAATCAACAAAACAGCTGAGGAATGATCAAACTGGTAGAAAATCCTGGAAAGACCACTGTTACACAAGTTAAGAAAAGAGAGATTATATGTGAATAAGAAATGGTCAACAGAATCAAGAACTCCCAAACTGCAGAAAACTTTGCCTATTTATAAAGGCAAAGACCTAGAAAAAACCCCACAAAACTATAGGATATAGCACTTGAGAGATTTATGACAACCATATAGAAATCTAGTTTATAGTTATCCGAAGATATAAAGTGTTGAGGAGTGAGTAGGGGATGGGAAATGGGATCAATAAGAGTAAACTATTCTTGCAGGAATTTAGCAGTGAAAGGGAAGAGAAATATAGGATAAAAGCTTGAGGAAACAGTAAGGTTAAGGAAAGTTTTAATATTTTTTAAAGGCTGGAGAGACCTGAGAACATTTGTAAGCAGTGAAGAAGGAGTTAGTAGATAGTGAGAAACTGAATATAAGGGAGAGAATGAATGGTCAATGGGATAAACCCCAGAAGGAGATGCAAGGAAATAACATCCAGACATATATGGAAGGGTTAACCTTTGAGAGAAGGGTTACTTCATTCTGTGCTGGTAGAAAGAAAGACAGGATGGATGAAGATGTAGAGCAGGAGTTCTTAATCTTTTTTACATTACTTCTTGTAGGTGGGTCATAATTAGAAAAATGCTACAACCCACCTATGGCCTCTTTGCCAGTCTGGTGAAGCCTATGGACTCCTTCTTAGAATAATGTGTTTAAATTCATATAATTTTTAAAAAAATTACAAAGGAAATCAATCATATTGAAAGTTATCAATTTTTTAAAAAAAGTTAATGGCCCTGAGGTTTAGAACTCCTGATATAGAGGGAATTTGAGGTGTTAAGAAAGGGAGATTAGTGAGATCACAGAGAGATGGTCTTGATTTTCTCTGGAGATAGTAAAAAACAAAACAGAATACCTAGTTGTTCTTGATGAGTTTAAGCCATCAGGTCCAGATGAACTCTATTTCAGGGTACTGAAAGAACTGGTAGCTATGGCTGCTGAGCATGCCAAGTAGCATGTCAGGGCTGCTGATAGTGTCAAATCTGAAAACAAATGACCAAAAAGTCACAGAATTTATGTAACCACTGTTAACTCTAAAAATACCAAAGAGTTTGCACAGGTTATCACAACCCCAGTTAATTCCAAAAAATAAAATAAAATGAAATAAAATAAAACCAAAGTGCTAAAAGTGGTCAAAAGGAAAGAGCTTTCTTTATTCCATTGGAGGAGGGAAACTAGATACATATACTGGAACCTCCTCTAGAAGGAGATCTCATTTAGTGGGGTCAAATCTTAATATTGTACAGCAATGGTTACATAGTGAACTGTAGCCCTGACAATGAGGGGTAATAGCAACAATGAGACAAGTTTGATTCATAACAGGAGTTCATGACTGGAACGTGGTTTTTGCAGGTACTTGTCCACGCTCAGGGACCGCCTGATGCTGGTGTGAAATAATTCTGGGATTTTGCTATGGCATAGTTAATCCAGAAGGTGAGCACAAAGGACTGTTGTTATGCCAAGCACAGCTTGCTTCCTGGGCCTTAGCTCTGGAAAACAGGATGTCTCCTAATATTATAAAGGGAGGAGTAAAAAGAGGAGTGTGGTCTTGGCATAGGAATCCTGACACTAGTGATCTTTGAAAGATCCTGGGGGAAGAAAGAGGTGCTTCGGGTCTGGAGAAGAACAGATACTTCTCAAATTTTCCAAAACTTGGAAACAAATGGCATCTTACATATGTGATGCTACAGAGCCTTCGATGTTCTTGGATGATGTCTTTGTGTGGTTTTATGCTTCTCTCAGCTAGACTGTGTTTCTAAACTCTCCATTAAACACACATCATCTTTCCTGAGTGGAGACCCTCTCTATAGGGTGTCAGATGCACTCCAGTAAGCACTGCATCATTGCATTTCTGTTCGTGTTAGATACTCTCTGCTACCACCTGCTGGCCCTTGGTTGTGCCATCCCTCCAGGCTACCTGTTGCTTTCTGACTCTATCTGCTAGAAGTGTATTTGCAAAGAAATGTCTTTCCTTGCAAGGAAGGGCTAAAACTATTTTAGTCCTGGGCATTCCCTGAGGTCGTGTAGCCTGAGGCTGTGACAACCACACTTAATAAAGGCTAGAATTAACTCCGTCATTTGAGATCCCTGGCCTCAGCCAATTATCTGATTTGGGGTTAGGAAATTCCTTTGAAACACTTCACAAATCCCTTATTGTTAGTCTGCATCCTCAACCATTTTAGATACCCCACCTCCAAAAGAGAAGACGTGTTGATAATATTGGGTTGATAACACTCCTCTCATATAAATGTTATCTCGAGTGATCCTCACAAGGACCCTCTGAGGGTAGGTGTTATTATTATCCTCATATTACAGATGATGAAACTGAAGTGAAAAGAGGTTAAATGATTTACTTGGGGTCACATAGTTGGTCAGTGTCTGAGGCTGGATTTAAACTCAGATCTACTGCACACTAGGGCCAGGATTCTAATTGCTAAGCCACCAGCTGCCTTAAAGACACAGATGGCATACTTATCAAATTGAAAAATAACATAAAACTGTGAGAGATAACTACTAAGACATTGGATAACAGTCAGGATAAAAACAAAAGACCTGAATAGGCTAGAACACTGGGTACAATCTAGTAAAATAAATATAAGCATAATTTCCTGTAGAGCCTTTGTAAAGATCAATGTACAAAGTCTAAGAGTTCTCCTTGAGATTTCCATTCTATGGCTAGCAATGCAACACTTGAGCTGTACCTCCATTATCCCTCATTTTTATCCATGACTACCCTCATACTTTTTTTTTATTCACACATTTCCTGGATGATCTCTTTTATTTCTTTGTGAGTACTGTTTTACTTCTTGTAAGTGGGTCATAATTAGAAAATACTACAACTCACCTATTGCTGTTACATGATTCTCCTTTACCCTGTGGGTCAGAAGGAGATAGCGTCCACATTAAGAGAAATGATAATGCCATTGTACTCTGACCTGGTCAGATCACATCTGGAGTATTTTGTTCAGTTCTGGGTACAACATTTCAGGAAGAACATTGATAAAATGGAGAATATCAAAAAGAGAGAAGAATCTAAGTTTGTGAGGGGATTTGAGATTATGCCATTTGAGAGTTGGTTGATGGAAGTGGGGCTATTTTTCCTGGACAAAATATTTAGGAGGGATAAGAGTATTTGAAAGATAGTCTTGAGAAAAAAAAAAAAGACTGCTTGACTCTCAAGGGCAGAACTAGGAACAATGAGTGGAAGTTTCTGAGACTAGAGAACACTGAGTCATTGATGATGAAGATAAACAACAGATTAAGGAGTGAGGATAGAATATACTCCATAGGAGGTTGAGGTAGAGTGGAGGTTGGTCATGGGAAATTAGGTTAATGATCAGTAAGGGTTCTTTCCATCCCAGATAGCCTATGAATCTATAAATCATAAGAAAAAACAAGAGATCGATATTGATTATTTTTATTGCTGTAAATATAAACTTTTTGGAAATTACAAACCAACTTTTAATATTACAATCAAATTAAAGACAGGAGTAAACACCTAAATGTACTAAGTTTAACTTTGTGTTGAAGTTTGAAAAATGTTATGGACTTTTAAAAATACCTTAAGTAATTAAAGAAGAGTGAAACAGTGAGTAGTTAGCAAAAGAAAGTTAAAATAGATAGATGATTGAAATTGGTGAATAATCATTCAGTGGAAAGGAAAGAGTAAACAGTTGAATAACCTGGTCATTTATTGTCTCAAACTCATTTGAGAAATACATAATAGCAAACTATGATAGTTCAAACAGTTTGAAGCTTAGTTCATATATAAATTAAACAATCTGAGACATGGAGTCAGATTGGAATATACCTCACTAGATGTACTGACACGTTCTAGTGCAATAACACTAGCTAGGAAAAGTAATTAAATTGGTAAATCCATTAAACTCAACAAATACTGAGCATCTACTATGTGCAAAGACACTGGTAGAGAGTATTAGGCCAAAAGAAAAACAGTTAATACTTAGCTTAATATGACTGGAAAAGAAGATGGGCCAGTCAGAGACCAAGAGAGAACAGACAGTTTATGGTTTCCATTATTATCCATAAAATGTCAAAAGAGTTGGGTTCTAGTACAATGCCACCAGCATGTTGGGTGGTCCTCCTTAGAGGATTTATAAGAAGCCATAGACAAGAGTCACAATTATAGGCTAGGCAGGCATGGATGAATTTTACTCTGCATCACTGGAGGGAATGTAGAAGCTAATAACAGATCCTGCCAAGTATCAAAGTGCTTCCTTTCTTAGTTTATTTTGGATAGGACCTATGAGATTTCATTGTTGTGGGAAATTCCCTTGGGGGAAAAATACCAAGCCAGATTGGTACTTTTTCTCTAACTTAAAAGCCTTAGAGAGTTGCTAGGGGAGAAGGAGGACTTGTCCAGAGTCATGGAGCCAAGTTTAGAACTGTTCTCCCAGTCTGTAAGAGGGGTTCTCTGTCAAACATACCACATTGCCTCTCACAAGTACTTAGCTAAATATTTTGCTTTTTTTGGTAAATTTTTAAAATTTTAAACAAATATAAAGAAAGAAACAACCTTAAATACAAAATGAGAAAAGAAAAAAAAAACATTGCCATGTGCACAGCAGAACATAAGAGAGGATTCAAAATATAAAGCAATACATTCCAATTTCAAGAAAGCTCATATGATAAATATTACACATTGTGTTCAGAGCTGTCCATCTTTTCTTTGCTTCTTTGTAGGTTTTATTTTGTTTTCTGCTGTGCATTTACCTTTTTCCCCCTTTTTTTGTCCCCCCCGCCGAAGGCTACAATTAAGTGTGGATATATATGTATATATGTAAATATATACATAATACATATATACACATACATACACATACACACGCATGCACACATATACAAATATATACACACAAACATATATGTAGACATATATATACACTTGCATACACATACATATACTTAGATATCTATAATCATACACAAATATACACATATACATTCTTATGCATTTATATAAGACTGTACTATACTTTGTGCTGTTTCTCTGAAGGTAGATAACATCTTCCTTCATACATCCAAGTCTTCTCATATTTTTAAAATTTTTCTAAATCTACCAACTAAATCTATTTTTCTAAATCTACCAACTCATCATTTCCTACACCAGCAATATTTCCTACACAGTAATATTCCAACTTTATACCATCTAGTTATTTTAAATAGTTTAAAACAATATTGATTAATATGACTGACATAGTGTAGTTTCCCTATTTTTCTCTTTTGATTAAATCTATTTTAGCTTTAACTTTGTCTGAGATAATGATTATTTCCTCTGTTTTTCCCTAACAAATTCTACTTCTGATCTTTATTTTATGTTTGTGTATATCTCATATTTCCTATCCCTCCTGATTCCTCTACTTTATGTCTACCCGCTACTTTGCCCTCCTATTATGTAACCTACCCCACCAGGGTCCCTTCCTTACCCACTCCTCTCCACCCTTTCCCCTTGCCCTTTTGTTTCTATCTGAATTTAGAAGACTTTTAAAGCCTTCCAGATATAAATGTTGTTCCCTCTTTATCCCATTCCCATTAATCTAGACACCTTTCTATATCCTCCCCCCTTATCCTATTCCCTCACCCTCTTATTTCTTTATAAATTTAGAAAATTTTTATTCCCTTCTAAATGTATATATTGCTCTCTCTTTGACCCAGATCTGATGTGAGTAGGGTTCCCTCTACAAATACCTCACCCTATCTCTATCCCCTCTGCTTTTTATTTCTTTCTGAATTTAAAAGACTTTTATGCCCTTCTAGATACATATGTATTGTTCCCTCTTTAGCCTATTCCTGATGAGAGTAGGGTTCCAGAACTACCAGCCTCCTCCCCCATCTAATTCCTCTGTGTCAGTTCTTCCTCTCGCACCTCATTTGGCTAAGATAATTACTCTTTTTACCTTTTCCTAGACAATATTACTTTTTAGAATAACA